AGATGGTGACCATATGATCTTTCCCTCTTCTAGACCATAGATATGCTTTCTATCCTTAGTATTTGACTTCTGCATGCAAGGAGTGCTCACCTAAATCTGCCTGCCCTCCATAGCACCTGGATGCAACACAGGTCCCTTCAGGAATCCAGTAAAGACCCAGACAGAGCGTAAACAATTTGTGAAAAAAGCACAACCTGACTCAATTAGAATTTCCTCCATGAATAGCTCCCTATGTCAGAACTTAAGGCCCCAATTCATAGGGAAATCTGGGACCCATTTCCTCAGGAATTACTAGTTATTTACGCAGAGAAAGTACTGCATTCTGATTTTGTTTTCTGGACAGTCTGGGGTGGGCTGTACGCTCACGTGAACAGGCTGGATTTATGCTGGGCTGGCAGCAGGGAGATGTGAAGAGATCTGTACTTCTACATGTTACCCCTTGTGCCCTCTAGCACCTCTCTCCCCTCCCTGCAGAAGATGTCACGGTGTCAGGAGGAGCTGATCAGCTGCTGTAGGTGATCACACCCTACCACCTTCCCTGACTTTGTCAAAAGCCCCAGAACTACACCTGGCTGGTACAAAATGCAGTAATTTTCTGTCATCTCTTTGCTGAGGAGCCCATGAACTCCCAAGGCCCAAACTACAGCTCTACTCATGACCTGGGGAATGTTGGCATTTAGGATAATGGTTCCTACATAAGAACCATCTGTGGTCCAGAGCCCCATACATCCCATAAAACACACTCCTCTTAGATTAGGACAAGTGACAGTTATCCTTTCCCAGAAAGGATACTCTCTTACTGTGTCCTTTACTCTGGCAAATTGGACTATCTGTGGAGTAAGATATTATGAGAATGAGCCTGGTACAGTCTGACCCTCAAGCAATAGTTATGATGATCTTCCAAAACCTCCAGAGTGTATAATACACCCTTTTCAAAGGCCCAGCCTTAGCCACACACTCTTGTGCAAACAAAATTGGATCTAATTCCAACTCCTATGGCCTTTCCTAGAGTTAAACAAAGCTTTGTAGAGCTGAATGATAACAAACCACAGAGGGAGAGAGAAACTGTATGAAGGAAAAAAAAGAGCAAAACATCTGTCCCTGACATTTGAAAAATTCTTATTTGCCTAACTCCCCTGATTTCAGCAGAGCTTTATAACTCTATACCAGCTTCCAAGTTAGTCTCTCTTTTTTTAAAGCTCTCTTCTGACGAGCTCTGAAAGCAGCAGAGGTGTTCAGGCAGACGTGTGTAGGCTGTCTCAGACAGCAGGGGCTTCAGGCAAGAATAATTTCAGGCCAACAGTGGCAAGAAAGAGAAAAGGTTGTTGGTGGAGGAACAGAAGATGAAGAGGGAAGCAGTGAGAGGCAATTCTTGTGGTTTGGAAGTTCCTGTGGCTCTATGTACAGTCAGCATTTCTGCCTGCAAACAGAAACATTTCTGTTTGCTTTGCAAGCCAGATTTCTCAACCTTTGGCCTTCTGACCTTCCCTGTATCTGGCACTGTGATCAGGTGTGAGATGCAGCTCCCTGCTCAGAGGGGTAGAGCTTTCTCACATGGTCCACCAGCCAGACTGGATGGGGCCTCCACAGAACCTGAAGAGACTGACAGTCTCTGGGAGACAGAGGGAGGGCTAAAGGCAGTGCAAGGACAAAGCCCAAAAAATGCTCTCTTCAGATGACTTACCTCAGCTTAAATACTGCCATGTTGTCCAATTCCTATAAAACCAGACTTCAGGAATTAGAATCTAGGCACGAGCTGCAAATTGGGTTTTCCTGGTGCTAAGAATAGACACAGGTCCCACCTGCTCAAAGGTACACTGAGCTCTCTCTGTTGGACTCTGCCAGGAGAAGAGGAAAGCAATGTCTATATTTGACCATTCTGGTCGTTCAATTTGTCCTTATCAAATAAAAATAAAATAAAATAAGGTTATTTTTAAGGCAGTACAGTTTCTTTATACCACATGCCCATGTTTATTGCCATATAAATTCCCTGTTTGACTACACCCCACCCAGGCTCTTGTACACACCTGCATAAGTCTATAATTTTATCCCATGAATCATTCTGTACCATCAGATCACACCCAACTTACCAGAACTCTAAGGAAGTGGCGAGTTCATTACACTGGTTTTCATCTTTCAATTTTAAAATAAAAGGATTTTTTATTGGTGCCCTAAATCCACAAGTATTTTTTTTTTAAATTACAAGCATAAAGAATACGTAAAATTAATTAATTAAATGCACCCGACAAAAGAGAGACAATGGAAGGGAGAACTAATAAACAGTTTCTAAGAAGCTGTTTGGACCTGTCCTGCAGAGGTTGTATCTACATCACGGGGTACTGCAAATCTGAAGCATTCAAAATCATGAGTCAGGCTCAACAAAAATCATGAGACTGAGGAAAAATCATAATTTTCAGTTTAAATTAAGGAGGTTTGCCTTGTTTTTCTCTGGGTTTTGCAACCTTGGGAGAGCACTGAGGCCATGGTTTCAAGCACTTAAGCAGCCTTTGAAGGACTTTTTTCCCAGGAGAGTGGAGATTTTCAGCTACATTACTTGTGCCGATAGCTCCGTGTTTAAGGAACCCAGCAAACAACACAAGAGGTTACAATCCAAAAGAAATCCAGATGCCATCATGTACAAGAGCAATGCTGCAGCAATCCAGGCCAGTTTGGGAATGTCCTTTGTTAGGAACACCAAGTGCAGCACACTCAGCAGCACGAGGAGATCTGCAGGCAAACACTTGCAACTTGCATTTTTTCACTTTGATTTAGTGTAGAGGAACACACTTCCATCTTAGCAGACTTTTCTCACTTTTATCTTCTTGAAGTTATCTTAGGGTTACCAAATACCACTTGAACTGACTGGCTCTGTAGTTCCTGGGATTAGGCTCAGTGCACTTCTTGACTTGCAGCCATTTGGCAGCCCCTGCATTGTTACACAAATGTAACACTCAGCAGCAACACGAACTTTTTGCCACTCAATTAAAAAATGACGAGCGGCCAAATAGAAAAACTGGATTAGCTCCTGGGCAACTTAAATTCGTGTGATACGGCCACTGGGTTGTTTCCTAGCCAGGACACTTAATTGCTGAGAAATCTGTTTACAGCTTGGTATGTGCATCTGTCCATTTGGGACCAAGGTGGGTGTGACAGGATCCTACCAGACTCAGGCTGACCAACAGTCTGGAAGAGGCTGCCACCAATGGGAAACTCCACCACGGTGCAAAGACTGAGCATCCATAAAAACAGCTGTCTCTGATCTGGTCAGGAATGAAAAAAAAAGCAAAGCAATGGTTGAAGTGTCTTATCTGCTCTGGAAGGGTCTAGATTTGCAGATGTGATCGGGGTGCTTTAGGTCTGAGATCTATTTTCTTTCATGCCCATTCATCATGCTTTATTGCTTGCTAATGAGAGGACAAAGAAGAAATGGTCTAAATCTAATCACGCTGCAGTTGACTCTGGCTGAAAAGCCCAGCAACACTGAGTATCAGGGACCCTCCTGACTCTCCCCTACACACACTCCCCCTGGTTAACGGGCTCCCTGCTCAGCACACCGTTAACAACGAGGCTGTTTAATTCCTGCACGGTCCCACTGACATTTACATCTGTTGACTCCTCACCGCTGTTTTGCCGCCCGCCACTCCAAGTGTTGCACTCCAACCAACCTTCCATGTGCTCCCAGATCCTTCGGGATTGGCAGAAGGCTCAGGGTAGCAGACAAGGTGAATCCTGTAAACATGGCAAGAGATAAGGCAGTAAGGGAATGATAACCACAAAAGTAGCTCACAGGGTTCAAGGGATGGAGGAACATGTACTGTTTATTTTCTGTGCTCTTGGATCAGCTGCAACTCCACATGTAAGGTAACTCCTTGAGCCTCAGCTTTAGGACCTGGAAAGTCCCTTAGCACTGAGCATTATGTAACAAAGAATATATGCTTTCTTTATCTTTTATCTATATAGGAAACAAAACAAAACAACCGAGACATTTGAACAATGCCTACAGCTCTGACTTGGGCCATGTCTCTGCCCTTGTTTGCACTGATGTAAATCAGAGATTGCTGGGAGAGATTTAAAATAGGCCTTTCAATTGCTTATCACATCACTCCTCTGCTCTGCCAGTGATCTGTTCTGTGTGTTTCCAACAACAGTGCCCGTGCTTTTGCCAAGCCACAGTTACACATGGAATGCTTTCTCTCTCCAGGTACACACAGTGCCTGTCCCCCCTTATCCTTTCATATAAAACACCCAGCTTTCATCCCAATCCCGAGAAGTGCACTACCAATTATACCAATCCCAGGGTTTTTTAACTCATTTCCCCGGCATTTGCTCAGCTGGCTTGCCCATGCCATTTGTTTATGATGAATTTTTTATGACATAAACAATTACTTATTCCCAGGTGCATTTAACCAGAAGAGCAGGAACAGAGAGAAGTAACAGACTTGGGACTGCCTGGGCTTGCATGGTGGCAGCAACAATATGTTTACAGGCTTCAAAGGCACTGATAGAGCTCCTTCTGCATTTTGGGGGGCTCAGGATTAGAACCGGCTGGCAAAAGGTGATTTTTAATTCACAGGGAATTTCTTCTTTTGGTTTGGTTTAGCTCAAGGCCAGCGCACCAGCATTTGCACCTGAGAAACCCAAGGCGGTGCCTTGCACAGCAGAGTTGGGGACCTGTTAGAGGGCAGCAGAACAGACACACACATGTACCTGCACACTCCTGTACACTCACACACACTCTTGCACACTCACCCTCACACACACTGCACTGCTGCAGGCACCATATGTGCCTTTCCACTGGAACATGACATGAAATACAAGACTTCATCTGGTTTTCTGACATTCTGCCTTGACCCCCAACGCTCTCAGCAGCCCCACGGTTCCTTCAGCAGCTCCACAGCTTCCTAACTTCTCTGGTATTTGAGGGAGAAATTGCTGGAGTAAATTCCATGGTTTGAGTAATGACATTGATTTTTTAATTTCTTCAGGAAAGTGATTTATTCTGACCTTAAATTCCCTGTAACTGATGTTGTGTTATCAGTACTGTCAAGTTTTGTCAAGGGCTTGAGAGAAAGGGTGAATAAAGACACAGACACAGTTTTTCTCTTGTGTCTTCAGACTACTCCTACCTCTGAGCTGCCAGGTAATATCATATAAGTCATATTAGCCCTTGTTCCCTTTCTTCCCGTGGTTGACATAGTTAGTGGTGAAAAATTGATGTAGCTGATGGTGACACAAGGCTGAATCTGCATCAGTCTGAAAACCAGGCAGCAATAGCACTGAGTAACGTGACAAACTACCCAACCCTGCATGCATTGTGCATTGCTCCAGAAAATCCAGGCAATGTGGCCTGCGTGGTTTTCAGCTTGGATGGTTCAGCAGGAAAAAGATTTTTGATAATAAAATTTAAGAATCGGGATCTGAAGCTCTGTATCAAACAGAAGCGATCCCCAAGGTACATTAAGGTCTGCCAGTCTCCATTCAATTAGCAAATGGGAGACAGCTGTCTGTCTGTCTGTCACCCTTCCTCTGCCCTGAACGCAAACACATTCAAAGTCAAGCCAAATCTTTTTGTTTCATCAGCAGGTTCAGCCAGTTACCTGCCGGATGTGGAACAAGTTTAGGTACCAACTAGTGCAAGTCAGCAATGGGCCCAGGGTTATTGTCCCTCTCTCTGCTTACTTTGCCTGAGCAGGTAATTGCCAAAGAAAAGACAAACTCTCTCCCAGGCACTGCAGCTTTTGGACTCAGGTCTCTTCTCAGACTTGCCATTTGTCCCTGTTTCTAAGTACAGTTCAGGGAACTCTCCATGAAGAATAAGGTTCTTTCTCCTGGACCCTTCGAGAGATTTCTTATTAGTCACCGGCTAATTAAAGGTTCCAGTTGCATTGCATTAGCACCTCTCATGTCATTAGAGTCCAGCTGCAGTGCGAGAATCACATATTTGCTGAGGCTCCTGTGCCAGGCAGCGAGCTGGGAGCAGAGCTTTACATTTCATCACTCTGCAAAAGAAATACAATTAAGCAGTGTTCCCTGATCATATTGCAGCCTGCAAGAGGGCCTCTGAGCACCAATCACTGCAATGTCTGGCCATGAGTTGTATTGAAATGGTGCTTTGACAAGGTTTTATGAACACATTGTAATAAATCCGTGGCCACTTAAGACTTCTTAATTGTCACTGTACTGCACACGAAGCTGCTCAGAACCCCAGGGTGGAAATGCCAGTTGTGCCTGGGCACATGGTATCTCCACTTGACTTGTAGGAAAATCTTCACCCTTTATTAGCAGTGCAGGTGTTGTGCCACGGGGTCGGGGAGTTCTGAATTCACCCTGTAAAGGCTACTGGTGCAGAGATTTAGTTCATTATAACGTTGTTAATTGACAGACTTGTGTGCCTGTCTAGTCAATAACAGCCTGCTAAAAATATGCATTAAGCAGAGAGAATGAATCAGCTGCTAATAGCAGTCTGCCTGATTGTCAGCTTCTATCTATCTTCGGGATTTGTCGGAACCTTGTCACTATTGTGCTCCGGCAGCTCCAAGCCTCCAACATATTTATCCTCCAAACACCCCTCTGGGGCAGGGCGGTTGTTGCTCTCACCAGTTTACAGATGGGAAGCTGTGATATTGAGAGGGAGAGTGATTTGCTCAAGGTCACACAAGAAATCTGTAGCAAAACAGATCAGTCTGGCAAGCCCAGGGGGATTAACCTACCCCCAGCCAGGACATCTTTCTTGTCTCCTTCCTCCTTCAAATCAGCAGAGTTATAACGATTTATACCAGCAGAAATTCTTTGAGACTCCTTGATAATGCAGAACTTTCAATTTACGAGTGGATGAAGGATTAACTAAATGACCCCCTGCCACATTTCCATAACGCTGACATCCCAAAGCCAAACTTTAAAACATCAAATCCACAAAACTTTTTTAAAATCAGTGCCTCCTTTAGACCAAGTTCTAGCTCCTCTCTTTATTTGTGTGCATTTCCTGTAGCTGCTAACACCTCTAGCTCCAGGTGTAGGGAAAGAACAGCCACCCTAAACTGCTGTGGGGAGGTCTAGAATGAGCAACAGTGTCAGAGAGAAATGTGAATCTGTGATCTGGCCTTGAGTCTTGGCAAGTACATGAGTCCTTTAGTTCATGTATCAAATATGTTTGCTTGTAATTCAGTAAGCTGACATAGGCTCTTAAGGCACATTAACTCATGTGTTACTCTGATGCTGTGATTGATTAGACCATTGCTATTATTAATGTTACTTATGTGCTATGTAATGAACAACTTTTAGCTAGATGTGATCCTTCATGTGAAGTTTGCCTTCCAAATAACATACAATAAAGGAGAAAAGATATGGGAAGAGTGGGACAGTTATCTCAAGAACAGAGGCATAGGTAACTAATAATGGGCTGGAGACATGCCCAGTTTGTGGGCACGGAAGCTGAGCAGTGCCAGTCACACTAGAGGGGAGGGATGGTGTAATCAGGTGAGAGGAGCAGTGCCAAGTGCCCATCACTGCAGCCCAGCTCCCTGTGTCTCTCTGCAAGAGCTACAAACAGGGTCAGCCGGGCGTGTGGAGCCCCTGGAACAGCCCCTCTGCCCGATGAGCTGGGACTGCAGCTCCAGCCCTGACATCACAAACCAAACACACAGGAGTTGTGGATGGTCCACTAAAGAAAGTGTTCAAGGCCAGGTTGGACAGGGCTTGGAGCAACCTGATCTAGTGCAAGATGTCCCTGCCTGTGATGGAAGTGTTGTACTAGATCGTCTTTAAAGGTCCTTTCCAATGTAAAAAATTCCATTAATTTTAAGTATATGGCAATTCTAGAACTAAGATGGTAAAACCAGCAAGATCTAGTCAAGGAAAAAAATCCTGTTACATTTTCTTATTTTTGCCTCATACACTTTTTCAACCAGGACCACACACACACTGTACTATGTCAGAGGTGCCTCCTGTGTCTTGCAAAAAAGCTTCAAATCCTCCGATTGTTGCTATTCATGATTCAGGACCACAATTCCACACAGGGAGTCACTGGCAGAAGAAAAGCACTGTGGTTCCTCCTGGGCAGGGTAGAGACCCAAACCACCACTTTTAGTTCCTCTGCTTGTCTTTCCTCCCTGTGATTTTTCTTTCTCTCCACAGTTTTGCCAGGGTTACTTCGGGAAGTCAAACTCCTCGCTCCACTTCTGTGTGTCTTGCAGGCAGTTGTGGCTCCAGCTGCTGTGGAAGGTGATGATTCTGCAGGTATCTCCTTCCTGCCCTTGAGCTCAACCTCTCCACCAGGAGGAGATTCTCAGGCTGGTGGTGCAGCTGCTGTAGCTCCCAGCCAGTCATGGCTGCTGGGTGGCATCACCCAGAGGAAAGGAGAAGTGCACAGAGAGGACTGCCCAGCTGGGTATTACACACAAACCAGCTTCTTCCTGGAAAAAACGAGGGGTTTCAGTCTTTTGAGAACCCCAAAGAATTTTCCTCCACCTTCCTACAGGTGGAGAGGTTGGACAGACACTTGACTGAACCATCCTCAAGCCCTCCCAGCCCACCTACAGCAGGCTCTCTGTTCAAAAGATTTGTGTGCAATTAGGTAAAGCAAACTTCAAAGCTGTCTAGCCCACTGATCCAATATGGAAAAACCTAATTAAGGGAGTTAGAGATGGATACAGTGTCAGCTTTCACCTGGACAGACTTTGGCAAAGGAAGAAGTAGTTTGAATTGAGGTCTGAAAGCTGTAGGTTCCTGTC